GGCGGCAGAGGCGGCGGGCAGGACCATGGCAGCGCCCGGTGAGTCCGTTAGTACAGTATAATCAGTTCAGTTCATCCAAGGAGCTTATAGTTATTAGTTCATCATCGATGAGGTGACACATGTTTCTCCAAACGTTCCTGTGAATAATGACACAACGAAGTTTGCTATGCTGAAGTCCAACATCCTCCAAGTTAATATCAAACCCAGCTCAATTCATCTCTGTGAGGTGACCATTTTCTCCACAAGTCCCTGTCAAGCAGGGCAGCACGAAACTCGCTATCCTAAAGTCCAACATCCTCCAAGTTAGCATAAAACCCATTCATACATCAGAAAATACTAGGGGTATGGACATCTACTAACAAACATGAGGAAACAACATTGAACTACAAAAGAGTACTAATATTCCTTTTGTTTTTGTCATGTATTTGCCTCGGAAAGTTTTAATCATGGACCAGTTTTGACGCATAACTGACTCCCGGTTTTTCTACTTTTCCTTCAGAAACAGAGATGAAAAACACGGAGGAGGGAGCACCTACAGAGAGTGATGACGTCACGAATAAGGCGGGAAAGGATACTGAGGAGAATGAAATCACCATGGCAACGGAGGAGGGGGAGAAAGAGAAGATAGAGGGGGACGGAACTGTAGAAAACGGAGGAACCGAAGGTGAGGACTCTAAAGAGGAAGGCAAAAAGGAAGAAGATAAAGTAGAACAACCGGGAGAAGATGAGAAGGCAGAAAATGAACCCGCAACAGACAAACGGGAAGACGCACCTGAGTCTACTGGGAACGAGCAGGGAACCGAGGAACGAGAGCACCCACCAGACGATGCTGCTACAGACGAACAGAAGGTTACAGAAGAACAAGAAGCGACGCAAAACGGTGATCAACAAGACAAGACAGAAAGCAACGAAACTACAGACGGTTCTGAAGAAAAGACTGAGAGAAAATCTAGCAAACTAGAGGATATAAAGGAGGTAGAGGATTCTGAGAAAGGCGAGGAACAAGACGGAGGCTCGGCCGAGGTGACGAAGGAAGGCGGGAAGACCGAGAGGACCAGCCCCACACCGCCTCCACAAGCCGCACGCAGGAGGAGCGAGCCCACACTCTCACAGGTGTGTGTTTGTTTGTTTGTTTGTTTGTTTGTTTGTTTAAGATCTCCATTAGTGTGAATTTCACACTACTCTTCCTGGAGTCCGTAGTGAATAATCAGATAAGTATTTGGACCATCGCACACCGGGGCATGCCCCTACTCTTTTTCGAAAGGTGTGCTGGGTTATTTAACGTGCGCGGGGTGTGGCTCTCCCCAAACACGGGACCTCCATTTAACGTCCTATCCGATGGACGCCCCCTTTTGGTCTAATTTGTTATATTTTCATTTGCTTGTATCCAAGCCCAGTGGGGCAAAAATGTGTACAACTAGAAAGGTAACATTTGCAAGCAAATGCAATATGTTTACCTCAGGATGGTCTTGCCTACGATTTAGCGTTATACCTTTATTGGGAAAGGATGGGTAGAAGGATATTTTGCTTATATTACTGACTTTTATGTACTGTTATTATAGAGTAACATTAACGTTATAACTGGGGAATTTCAATGTTTTTGCCGTTGTAAGGCCAAGTTTAAAATCTGCCGGTCACTTTAATCAATGACATTCTCTGCAGACTGCAAGTAAACTTCAAGTCTTTTTGACAGCTTTAATTACAAAGGACATTGTTGAGCTCGTCTCATCCTTATTACATTTTTGTAAATAGGAAACAGGACGTAGGCTGAAATAATGATAATAAGTTTATTATTATTAGTAATATTACAAATACATGGCAGAAGGCTCATAGTAAGTGCGTATATCATATACATATAATGAAATGATATACAATGATATGAAGAACTAATTCCTACAGTACACTTTAGTCTTTATACTACAGTACATAAGATATATATCAAGACAGTTTTGTTGGGTTTTACTTGTTCTTTTGATTGCCGAGCCAGTGAATTATACCCGCTTCTATAATAAGTGTTCTTTGAACTTTTATATGAAAATCATTGCAATGATAATGAAAATCTACAGTTGTGTAAAATATTGGAACTACACACTCTATAAAACCATACATACATACTTAAAAAGCTATACATGACTTACATATATTATGCAACTTAACATACATATTTACTGCCTAAATTGGAGATATAATGTGTTTCTAGAAATGGTTGTGATGTGTTGTATCCTTCTGTGGATGGCTGGGTTCAGCTCTGTTGGGTTCCTCTCCAGTTTCTCATTGACCAAGTTCTGCTTCCTTTCCTAGCAGAGGTCCAATCTTAAGAGGATACAAAAAGGAGAGTAAACATTTCAAAAGTGAGCAGATACTGATAATATATGTCTAAGTCATTGAACCACAAAAGGAAAGCATAATACATATGTATATAACGTATAACTATATCAGGCGGGGTCCAAGAGGGTATATAATATATGTCAAAGGGGGTATGATATATATTCAAATTTTACAGCAGACCAATTTGTTAATACAGAGAACACTGTTGTCTGTATGCAATTGAAGAATAACAACGCAAGCATAAGACTCAAGTTACAAATTTAGTGAAACCAGACGTTCACATATTTCTTCATATACATTGAAGCCCCAACACTATTTATTCTTCTGTCAAATTCCTATAGGCAATTATCCTTATTATGAGAGATAACTTCACAGGATATGCATCATCGGGATGTGGAATTTTTCGGGATAGGCGTCCCAATAAATCCCGCGAGATATCCGCGTCTCCTGCGGAGCGAAAAAAACTTGATGCGAGATCTCCAAGTCTACTGCGGGTCCTATCACGGATGACGGCGTCGAAATGTCCTGCTTCCGGCCAATGGAGCACCCTGACGTCAGTCAACTTTGCCATAATTGTGTATAACGCGTTCCTCAAGCGGTCATAGTTGAACTGCTAAATTTTTACAAAGCTTTTGTGCAGCGAAAAACTCACAAAAACTGTAAGAAAATGAATGAATTTGTATTAACCCCTTCGTCTCCAGTGAATTTTTCGGCAAGTTTATAAACAATCAATCTGTCAAGTTTATAAAGTTAAACCATCAAATAAAATGGGGCGTACCGGCTGGAGTTGTTGTGTTTCATTGTGACATCTCGTGACCGTCAAGTAGTCTCTGTATTACGAAAATATAGGAAAGTTTGCCCATCAAAATCCCGGGGCGTGCGTCTCACCCCTCCCCAAACACGTACACATAAATAAACCCTTGCGTCAACAACCGATCCGGCTACGTCCATTCACGTACGTATTACCCTGAAAGCAAGTACTTCCACGCGGCTGGCAAAAATTCTTCCGGTGGAAAAAGCATTCTAGTTCTCGATATCACTTGTGAAAAACGTTTTGGAATGAAAAAAATGGGATGAGAAAAATAGAATGCCGCGTGCAGGACTGAGGCGGAAAATCGCTACAATCGTGAGGCGGCCTCTAGTCTCTGGGGCGGAGCATCGAGCCTTCGAGTTTGAAATCTTACCGCCCAGCCAGTGGGCGGGTCCCCGTCTGTGCGCTATGATTGGGTGCCCGCGGTCTGCTAGCTATCCTGCGTGCCGTTTCTATGGCAACGTTGCCCAGTCACAGTAACACGAAATCAATTCTTGATCGTCGGAAACAAAGCCAAGGGCGTAAAGAACCTTTGATATATATTATGCTTCGCCCCCTCTTTTGTATAATGTTTAATCTCTCTTCCGCAACTCCGTGCGTCGACCTCCCATATCTAGGAGAAGAACTTCTCGAGTGGCTGTGTTAGATTTTATATCTGAGATAGCGCGGGTCGGGTGACATCAAAAGCAGTACTTAGCGGGCCGTCCACATCGCAAGGTCAGACAAAAATTCTCGTACCAAGACGGTTGTATTATTTTGTTATCGTTCTAAACATTATTAAGCCACTAAAATTTTCGATTAAATAAAAAAAACATTTGAATTAAAAACACTATTCGTTTGTGCTACTGTTATCATCATGCATAATTTGGAAACAAACATGCGCTGCACCGTCTGTCTGTAAAAATCTTAGTCAACATGGTTCCCGAAAAATCCCGCGGGATATCGCCATGAATCCCGATTTGATGCTTATCCCGTGTACTGTACTGTGTTATCCCGAAAAAAGATTGAAACTGTCGGACAAAACGACAAAATGTAATGTTATACTAGTATCCATGTTAATTGTTATATCATGAGTAATAAACGTAAACAAACGCCCCCCTCCCCCTGCCCCGCACCTACATAATTACAAAGTCGACAATAGTTACGGATGAACACAATTCTGTTTAATTTATTTTCAAAACAGCAACAAGCCTAAATCGCTAAACATACGAGATTCTATCAAGTCAGGAGCTAGTAAATTACTAGAGCATAATTTTTAGATTTGAGCCGGCTAGTTCATTGCTAGTGTTTTTTTTTTTAGCCGGCGATGACATGCAAAAAGTTAAACAAAGTCTCCCGCGTTCTGTGGAAATCTGCAGTCCTAATTGTGGATATTGAACCCAAAATCCCAATGCAATATTCTCTACTTGAGACTGGTATTCATATGACCGTATTTTACGAAGAAAAATGAAAACTTACCGCTACATTGGTCCACTGATGTCTTCTCGTGTCATACAAGGGCGGATGCCCATATTTGGAAAGCTCGGGTGTTCCGTGCTAGCGCTAGGGTCAATGACCCGCGGTTATCGAACACGCTGTTCCATTGTTCCATGGTTGTTCGAATGTTCCAAACGCGTTCTTTTTGTTCGATTTTTGGCTTAAAATGCAACTTTTTTCACCCATTTTTTGCCAATAAAATCATTTTCTGACATCTATGTTGGCCAAAATGACCAAGGTTCAATGTCTAACGTACCAACCTACCAGCATGCTGAATTTCATTTTCCTCCAAGCTCTAATTACGAAAATATCTACGATTTTTAGGTGTTTGGAGAAGAGGAGGAGGAGGAAATGAGCAAATATAATATGTTTTCCTTCGGTAAACATAATAATGGTCTTCATTCCTAAATGAACAGGCACCGTCTCCTCGGGCCAGCCCGGGGTCCTCGCAGGCCATGCTGCGCAGAGGGAGTCTGATGGATGTGGGCCGGCTCAGGCAGGCGGAAAAAACGCAGAGGGACGCCATGAAGGACCCCAACAACTGGCCTATGGAAGCGTGAGTTTGCTGCTGGTCTCTTAAATATATTTTGTAGTAATTGTGTTTTTGAACATCATACAATACACACCATCTACCATACATGCCTCTATTACACAGTACAGGGACAGTTACTTCTTAAGTTGTTGGTCCTTGCTTAGACTTAAAATCTGAAAATGTACAGTAAAAGACACATTCCGAAAACGAAATTAAAAAGTTGAGAAAAGTCTATTGTCTTACTAGTTATATTACAAGTCATTTTGTATATGATATCTTCAACGTAAGGTACCCAAAGACCTCTCCTTTATTCAAAACTTCAGGTACAGAATCTAGAATTTGAACTTCAGAAGCTGTATAAAGAAAGATACGTTAAGAGAAAGAAATTGAAGAATCTTCGTGAAAACCTAGTATTTTGTATGTGTATCTAAGTTGCTTAAAGAACCGTCTTTACATTTGCCACAGACTCCAGGTAGAGAACCTAGACGGAGATTCCGAGGTCGGCTGCCTGATCCGCGGGACGTCTGACGTTCTGGACTCCGCCCCTGACGGCATCACCGCCGCCTACCTACACCGCCTGTCACACCTGACGCTGGGAGCCGGGGAGGAGCTGGTCAGCGAGGTGAGTTTGAATTTTATTTAGATCCACAATTAGCCTCATAAGAGGCTATTCTTCCTGTGGTCTACACATTACATTCATGTTACATATTACAATTGAAGAGAAACGTACAAAGACATACAAAGTTAACAGTACGGAGAAAAAATACACCATAATTCCTTAAATACACTAATTACAGTCCAATACTTTGCTAGTTGTCGCCTGTGTTGTTCCACAATCGAGACATTCTGTACAGGAAGCGTCTTTTCTGAGAGTTGGATGTTGGTTTTGGTAGTCTGATTTTATTTGTACTGGTTGAGCGGGTTTGGTAGTTGTGAATCTGATTGGAATGTGATTTTGTCGTACAAAACCTTTGGTTGTTTGGTGAGCATTATTCGTTTAAAAGTGACAAGGCTTCTCTGTTGAATTCTGTCCTTCAGGTGGTGGACCTGCAGCCGCGGGGACACACGCTGCCCGGCCCGCTGGTCGTGGCCGTGCCGTACCCGGTCTCCGCCAGGATCGGCAGTCGGGAAGTCATCGTCAAGACGTCGCAAGACGGAGAGAAGTGGCGGGCAATCCCGGCATTCAACCCGGAGGCTAACTACAGGGAGAGGAAGGTAACGAGGGGTTTTCTTCAGTAATTACCGATACACAACCCTAACCGTAACTCTATTATTTTTTCTTCGGAAATCAAAGCCAAATCTAATGTCACTTGTAAAGACACTACTCCATTTATTTCATAACCACCCAACCGTTGCTTTTTTCAACGTTTAGAGTTGTTACCTGTTATACATAACAAGACTTTTCCTTACAAGTCGTGAGAAAGGAAGGTAATAAGGTATCAACCTCAAGTCTACCATCACTTGTAAAGCTTTTGTGTAATGCCCAAACGATTCTTCTTTCTACGGTAGAATTTATTGAAGAAGACAACCCTCCTAAACCTTCTATGAAAGAGACCTGCCGTACGTAACAGATGTTTTTAGGAGACTCCTTACCATTGGTTTAGCTAAATGTCTATGGTAGCTGTATCGTGTAAATGATTGTGTGAAGTGGTTGTTTTTGCGTTGATTCATCAAAATCTCTCAATGGTAATGGCAACATCGGTCGTTTTAAGAACAAAGTTTCTAATTTACGTCTTTTCTTCATCCTACCCTTTCTCCACAGGGCGTTTTCTTCGCGGAGGTGCAGGTGAAGCAGCTTGGGCATGTATGCAGTACTGTCGCGGCCCGCTAGGGAGAAGATCCACGTCCCCACCAAGGGCGGGCTGTTCAAGGCGCCTCAAGACCAGCGCGTGTCCTTCAAGTACGACAAGGAGGGGGTCAAGACGCCGCTGGTGCTGACCTTGGAGGTAAGGGAAGGAGAAACAGACAGATGGAATGAATAGCAATAAAGAAATAGGGAGAAACTAGCGTTTAAACTGTGTGCTGGTCCCTGTCCTTGGTGCTGAATGTTGTACTTAAAAATTGGGGATGAAAGAATTATGAATACAAATAATAAACCAAAGAAAGCACACGAGAATGTAAAAGATACTACAAGAATAAAACGAATAAAAATCAAAGTGAAGAACAGAAGAAAATGTGGATCCAGGAGGATAGAAGAAAGAAATCAACGTTTAAAGATTGTGCTGGTCCCTGTCCTTGGTGCTGAAAGTTGTGCATTGTGAGTTTCGGGATGGAAAAACGACGACTATAAGAAACGTGGGTGTACAAAAACAACTTAAAAAGAACTAAAAAAACACTTAAAAAGACTAAAACGAATAAAACTCAAGAAAATGTGGTCTACGTCTAGGATAGCACAACTGAGACTTTAAAACACTCAGAAATGTTGCTCCCTTGTCAAGTGAAGAGAAGCCAAAACGAAGGACACAAAGATGGCGGATGCCCATATTTGGAAATCCTCATGACGTCACGTTTCTCCTGTTTCAGATCCAGCCCCGTCTCCCATGTCGGTGGTGGCTGACGTCAAGTCCCGCGAGAACCATGCGAGGGTCTCATCTCCTGCAGCCCCATAGTGCGCATGTCTCACAGCGTCAACATCCACAAACGTTACTCTCCGCCAATCACCGTCACCGTTCCCGTCCCGCCGAACCCCAGCCGCGCAGCCGCAGAGGAGACCAATACAAGGTAACTTTTGCACTTAAACTAACTTTATCTAAACCCTATTTTTTCTCTTAACAATTTATTAATCTATTCTTAGTCAAAATGTCATCAAAACATAACGTTAACTTTTATGTCGACTGATCTAGATACAACTAGGATTAAGAAAGCTAACATTTGCAAAGCAAATGCATTACAATGTATGTTTACCTTCGCTTATGGTCTGCTCTGTTAATTCTCACTCAAACACATTCATATATTGGTGACAGGAGTCTAAATCCCTCCTGCTATAAAATGGCAACATGATGTAACCCAACACCAGTTACCATGGTGACAGACGCCTGGTTCAGTTCATTACTCTTATTTGTTTGGAGAAGAAGAGGAAGAAGAAACAGAGCAAAAATAAGGTGTTTTCCTTCGGTAAACATAGTAATTATCGAAGTTTAAGAAGAAAAAACTTCGAAGAAATATCGAAGTTTAAGAAAAAAAACTTTTTCTTCCCGCAGTAGGAGGCCGAAGACAGCATTCGAAAGCGGCCGTTCTCATGACGCAGCGTCTCGACCAATGAGCGCCTTCTCTCTGGGCACGCGCAGTAGCAGCGCGCAGGACGATGACGACACGCTGCGGCTGGTCACGTGGGAGGAAGGCGGTTGGCTGGTGCATGATGACGTAGAGCTGACGGAGAGGAAGGGCGACCTTGTGGCGTTCGAACTCAAGGTCGTGCTGCAGAGGTAGGTCTAGCAGACAGGGGGCGCTTTTCTAACGTATAACGGATGGGCTCCAGGTCAGAATTTCAGAAAGAATGCCTTAAACTTAAGAACAACTCCAACAACAAAAAATAGCAGATACAGATAGTTTGCAAAGTTTACAATTAGCAACTACAGGAAAGCAAATTTTATGATAGTAATGACTGTCAGATTGATATTGCCAGTGATTTATCAATTGATATCTATATAACAGATTTTGTCAATTAAAAATATGAAATTTTTGATTTTATTGTCTTTCAGGTTCATCATCCTGCGACTAAAGACCGGTTCACACCAGTCGCCAGACAAAGTAGTCCGTGCTCTGGAGAAATCCCTCCGCACTAAGCGGGCTGCGTGCATCGCCCGCCACCGGACAGACGACCCAGGCAGTCTCGTCTTCAAGTAAGCACAGAAACGGGCCTTTTCTGTGATCTGTGTAAAATGTATCCAAATGGCTTTCACTGTTATGTTTGAGGTTTTTCGAGGGTAACATCTGCTACACCAACTACTTTTAGAGTTGTCGTTTGGTGTAACGTTAGACAGAATCAAGTGTAAAGTTTCCCGTTCAACCTTGGTTCAACTCACACATTAGCCTTGCCGCTGAAAAATCGTTGCTATGTTCCCGAGGCAGCGATTTAATTTGTTGCCTCGTGTGCCCCAGTGTAAGTATCGCTAGCTGTTCCAAAATTTTAGATTAACAAAGAAAGAAAGGCGCTCCACAAAGAGGCTAATGCTAGTAAACCTTACCGTTACGACTGTTCTAACATGAGCATTCGAATGTTCTAACATTAACATTCGAATGTTCTAAATGAACGTTCGACTGTTCTAACATCATCAGTGTTCGGATGTTGTAAGAAGAACGTTCTAACATGAACGTTCGACCGTTCTAACCAACTAGTACTGTTCTAACATGACAGTTCGACCGTTCTCCCGCCAGGTGCGTCCCCGCGTCTGACTCCGCCCAGACCCTGCGGGCCCTGGAGGATTCTGGGTACGTGGGGCCGCCCGACCCCAGCTCTGACGTCATGCTTACCGAGGGGCAGCTCGTCTACATGCGACTGCTAGGTACGAGTTTTATGTAATAGATGCTAATTAGCCCTTGTCCTGCTGTGCGCAACATATGTCGTTCTGCACATACAGTACCATCTATATAGCACCCTGTATAGGTACGATTTGGGGGTATTTCTCGTGCAACGCTTCACACCGCAGTGAAACGCAACGAATGCGGAAGTAACTATGCCACTACAGGGCAAAAAAAAATTGGGGGTCTATGATCTAATTAAGACATGAAATTATTGAAAAATATTGTGCCAGGAATGCCAGCAGGACAAGGGCTAAGAGAACAAAACGAGAGTGAAGAGCAGAAGAAAATGTGGATATAGGAGAATAAAAGAAAAAATGTGCAGAGATTAACGTTTAAAGTGTGTGCTGGTCCCTGTCCTTGGTGCTGAAAGTTCTGCATTGTGAGTTTCGGGATGAGAAAACGATGACTATAAAAACAAAAAACACTTTGACCTCTACAACTTTCAGTACGAATGGACAATTATAGGATGGAAAATTGTATAGTTGGCAACTCAACTTGACAATGAATGAGTTTATTTGTACTTAACAACGAATGTCGTGCTATAAAGATTTCAGCGTATGAACAACATAATCACCTCCGTCACATCTTCTAATCTCGGCTTTAGTGTTGTTGTTTTTTTCAATCCATGCGTTGTGGGCAAAATTTTAAGAGAAATAAAGTTAGAAGAGAATGATTGCGATCTCTTGTTTGTTCTTCCTGACATTTTGCAATGACGTTTTTGCCTGCACCAGTGCTGGTAGAAACTTAAAAATCTCTCTGTGATGTCCGTAGGAAACATCACACGAGCGGAGGAGTCTTCAGAAGAGGAGCTCCGTCTGCCCTTCCACTGTCACGTGCACAAGTCGGTCAGGTTAAAGGTCAAAGAGCAGGACGAGTTCGCCAATCACAGCTACGATGAGTACCGGGGTCAGGTCGAGTTCTACGTCAGGGAGAACAACGAGCATGACGGGAAGGAAACGTCACTGTGCAAGCTGCCCGTCTCACTACCCAAAGTGAGTTAAGTTGGGAAAATGTTTAGTGTCTTTTAGACTCAAATCGAAAGCAAAAGAAAGCTCAAAAGATTTGTTAAACACATGTTTAGAGTTAGATGTTAAAGGGTTAGGTGTAACAAGTCGATCGGTGTAATGTAGCCAGCTGCCGCCGCGCCGCGTGACTGCGAAGCTGGTTTGTTACGCTGAATGGCGGTTATACCGGCTATACAGATACAGATACACAATATCAACGCATTACTATACATACGTTTATTGCAATATTTGCATCAGCCCAAGCAAGGTTTTTTTTTCAATTTATGGCAACATTTTGTTTTTATGTCCCAACAGAAAGAGAGACCCCGGCCTAGACCGCCCAGCTCATACCGGAAACTTATCGAAGTTCCAGGTAAGTAACATCCGTTCAATGAAGAACATTCAAATATTCAACAAAGTGTCTACGGGTAAACCGCACAAAATAGATGTTGTATGCTGAAAGATGGCCCATAGCGATCTCAACATTTTTCAACTTCTAGGAAAGAACTTTGATAAATCTTTGGCAATATCTGAATGTGCTCTTCAGTGATTCTGCTAGTTTAAACGTTAGGATTTAGGGAAGTAGGAAGGCTTTGTCTATTTAGGTTGTTTGGTGTAGAACTGCTCTGAGATGAAAGACTTCATCCCCAAAGACATAGAATCTATAATTTCAAACGTAATGTAAATGTATCATGTACTATGATAACCCTACTGTTACCCCTCCCAGGTCCGCTGGGTACGGACGGACTGAACCATCTGGCCCGTGAGATGGGGGAGGACTGGGATGTGGTGGCGGGGTACCTCAAGGTCAAACACAGCCGGGTACAGGCCATCAAGAGGAACTACCCCGGAGACATCAAACAACAGGTACGTAAGAACCGTACAGGTGTGCACATGTGTGTATAAAGGCCTTACAGTCCGAACTTATGCAGCTTGTTGTATGTGTTACGCCAAACAAAACAAAGGGAAACAAAACCGAAGGTAAGACAAGCTTCAAACTTCAAGTCGCATTGGTTTTAGTTTCGTTTTTAAAAGGAAATGTCAACCCTTTCGATGGTGAAATGTCGACCCTTTCCATTCGGCAGTGATCGGCATATACTGTTTGCAACCCGGAAGTTGGAATATTTGAATGTCAATAATCGCTGTTCAAAGCATGTCATAGAACCACCAAAATACAAAAAAATGTTGGCCTTGTGATATACCAAAGCCTCTCAATTGAGTGGTGATCACTGCCTGCCTTTGCATACTATAGACGCCTTTATAACTGATGCGTTTATAAGGGTCGTAAAGTTACGCGATCATCGTAATGGGGGAGACGAACTTCGGGGATGTTTGCAGTCAGTTTAGGGCCCTTTAGAAACCTACTAGTATCTCACCGAACGAGCAACCAAACATTAAGATTTTGTACACAACAAGATATGTATGAGGAATTAAGCAGATATGATAATTGACTAACAACATGAAGATGTAAAATTTACCTTTCGATTGTGATCTCGACTCTCGATGACTTCTTCGTCTGCCATGTTTGCCTGACCCTAACACCAACCAGAAGTTAGCAGCCTATTCTAGCAGCCGATTGTAGGGTAGAAGAAAGAAAAGCTAGCATCTGATTCGTGTATAGAGTATAATTCGTTTCTCTTTAAATTTGTTTTATTCAGTACAATTTAAACAGATTTTGCGAGTGGATACAGACTATATATGTCATCAGTTTTCTGACGATTATTGGATGTCTTTTATCAAAGGCATCCAATGCCATGTCTGAGCAGCAAAACAAGAAATATTTTGAATAAGGTAACTTTTATGATATTAACACACACTGCTTCACATTAGCACCTTTCACTCAGTATTTCATACTTTGGGTATTTAAACTGCAGAAACAAGCCCCAATATGAGTCATTTATTTTCTGGGTGGTACCCTAAAAATCAGTCAAGGGCCCTTCCAGTAACCATTTTCCGTCAATTCAATTTTGGCAAATTTTGCTCCATAAGGGTCAATATACTTTGGGATAGTGTGCTTTCAACTCAGTATAAGTGACTAGAATATTGACTTTGAAAAAAATCGGGTTTTCAAGCCATGAAAACTGCATTGGATGCCATTAAAGCTTAAACCTCTCTCCTTTGCCCTCCAGGCGTTTGACATGCTGTACACGTGGCGGAACAGCATGCCTCGCCATGCTGACAAGGTCGGCGTGCTGTACAAGGCGCTGCGCAAGTCCGACCGCGGGGACCTGGCAGAGAAACTCCGGGCACAGACAGCCGCTTAACGTTCAACATGCTGCAGTTTTAAAATACAGTCGCTAGAGGGGGTGCGTAAGCGGTCGTGTGTTTCGGTAATGTAGAAGAATTACGCAAATGTGCAAGCTTTGTTTCTGGAACTTTGAAGACTTGTCACAGTATGCAATAAAAGTATACAAAGTGCATGTAATAGCTAATAATGCGTTACATTCAAATTGACATGTAATTGAATAGGTAAGGTGAAGTTTATCGCAAATAGGCAAAAAAAATGTATAGTTTTAAAGCCCACAATCCAGTGCACTGGTTTTTGATGGCATCAAAATTTGAATCTTGATGATGTTAGTTATGTCCCATATTGGGTAAAGTGTGACGACTATATACCACACTGAACATTGTTTACAGTGTTGCTATAATGTAACTGTGTGTGGCTTTGCTGTGCTGTTTTACTTTTGTAATTTATTGTGTGACCTTATTTTGTATGTTGCCGGAATAAAAGTACACACAAAAGTGTCAGAATTGAACCTTTAATCTTGTTTCAGGCTGGTTCTTTTCATTCAGACGATACAGAACATAACGTAATGTAACATAAAGTAACATACGGTGCTGTAGTGAGGAGTAACATATTGTTTAGCATTGAGTTATTCTGGAAAAGCCAATTCTTTAGCCCTTCTCTACTGCAAAGTTGAGTGGAATAGAAATAAAATCCGAACAAAAAAATCAAACCAAAATACCACAATTTTACAGAGCTATTTTGTGTAACAAAAATCCATAGTCAATGTGTGAATAAAGAACAATCTCTGGTCTGCTTTGACAAAATACTGCGAAATGCACCACGATATTGCACAATCCGACGTTGAAACGTATAACGCCAGGCAATTCTTATATCATATATACATAAAAAATCATTATATCATCTATATATATCATTAAATACTATATTTTCCATCATTTTATATCCGGATAATGAATCTCTTCAATGGCTGACATGACTGTCTTGTTCATAGCGCCACCTTGCGACAAATATAAGTACTACGCCGCCTCGGATATCTCCTCCTTCCCGACATGCACCGACTTCAATTAAAATTAAACAGTACAGAAAATACTAGCTTTTCCATCATTTGATATCCAAATAATGAATCTCTTCAATGCATCGATGAAGGTTAGACATCCAGGTAATACGATACGCCAAAAAGTAGTTACTCAAGCAACTGCATATGATTTTGGAAATGGCCAGACGTTTCAGCTAGTATCCACTAGCTTTCGTCAGTCACTGACGACGTCTGACCATTTCCAAAATCATATCCAGTTGTTTGAGTAACTTCTTTTTGGCGAATCTCTTCAATGGCTGTCTTCTTCGTAGCGCCACCTTGCGACAAACATAAGTACTACGCCGCCTCAGAGATCTCTTCCTTCCCGACATGCACCGGTTCCACGGGCATTTCCGGCATCTGTACGACGATCTGTCTCCTAGGTGACGCTGAGCCGCACTCGCTGTCGTCTGCAGAACCCTTCTGCACGTCCAGCTGGGAGTTGTTACTTCCCCGCGAGGAAACCACCGGGGTCTGGTGGTTAGAGTTCGATCTCTGGCTACTTCTCTTACTTTCTTTCGAAGACACCTTCTTCTCGGGAGTTTCCACTTTCTTTTCAGTTTCAATTTTACTTGAGTCCGACGTCTTGGGATCTCTTGAGACAGTCTGAGAAAGTTCTGTCGTGTCTTGGGTAATAAAGACACTGTCTGTCACAGGATCTTGAGGAATTTCCTGCGCAAAGTCTTCAGTTTTTGTCTCGATTTTCTGCAATGGAACTTCCTGTTCCTGAGGCACTTCTGCCGGAAGTTGCGCCATTGATGATGTTAGGTGGTTCATAACATCAGCGTCATAGTCACACTGTAATGAAAAGAAATTAATTCAAAATACATTCATATATTATATGGTCAGACAGGAGAATAAATCCCTCCTGCTATAAAATTGCACCATGATGTAACACAACACTAGTTACCATGGTAACAGACACAACATTGGTTCAGGTCATTGAGGTCACTGTTTGGAGAAGAAGAAGAGGAAGAAGAAACTGAGCAAAAACAATATCTTTTCCTTCGGGAAACATAATTAAATACATTAGGACTCTTGAATTTAGGAGAAAAAGTTGTTCATAGCAACGTATTGTATTTGGTAATGTAAGTTGCAATGCCAACTGCAGCTGCATGGCGGCGCTATTTCCCCACCTGTCCGTCCAGCCATGGAGTTGTTGGAGGCGGCTTGAGCGCGCCGGACACTGTCTGTGCACGCGCCATCTGCTCCAGGACGTGCATCACGTGATCCGGAGGCGTCGCCTGGACGATGGGAAGCTGTGGCGGGAAGGAGGGAAGGAAAGAAGCGAGGATGAAGGAAACGTTGCTCTGTTACTTCTTCACAAATTCACAAAATCTCTAACCTACACATGTAGTTTTTAAGGATTGCATGTATAACCTATTCTATCCTGGGTTAGCCCTTAATCTCTATCATGGTAGTTGGGCAACATGTGATATGTTCATGCTGAACCAATAGATAAATAAATGAATAAATACAGATTCATTCATTCATTCATGATTCATTCATTCATTCATTCACTAATTCATTCATCCACCTATTCATTCATTCATTCTTTTATTCATTCATTCATTCATTCACTCACACACTCATTAATTCACTCTCATTCATTCATTTCACTCACTCATTCACTAAATTCATTCATTCATTCATCCACCTATTCATTAATTTATTCATTCATTCATGCATTTATTCTATTTTCCCCCTACCTGATAACTGGCGACGTCCGGCTCCAGGTTGATGTGTTCGCTGCTCTGTTGTGACGTCACACTCCTGCGCTGGTAGCGAGGCGGCCTGTTCAAAGGCTTCTGTTTGGTGAAGCTGTCTTCTCGCGAGAAACTGAGAGACAAGTCCTTAGGCGACCCGATGGCCCTCCGCCCAACGTTAGGGATGCTGTGGGTGGGGTGCAGGAGAGCCTGAAAAAAAAGTAAAAGTGACCTGAAACCATGTTTAAAGTTAAAGCTTTTGGTCCAACACAAAAAAATTCTCTCACCTAGAGCTTTCGACCAGTCACTCTGGTCTTCCTCAGTAGACTGACCCAATGAAGCTTGTCACATGGCTTCTTTGAAGTGTGACGTCAACACTGGGTTAAAGGTATCTGGTAGACAATGACCTCAAACCAGTTTAGCTCATTGAAGTCAGCTACACTTCCACTGGTCGTGACAGAGAAGACAGACGCTATGTACAGTATTTACAGGTTCATTGTACCAGGGAAATTCCCCTAGGTCTTTTCGACAAGCACATGCTGTGAACTGTGGACCACAGCTTAACGTACCGTCCAAATACCCCCGTCACATTGCGCGTAAATCGATCGGCCGACTAGTTGGCGAGCTCTAAACGACATTTACGGCCGTAGTACGCCCGATGTTCCGTCGAGCATTGCGCGAATTTTCGGGATCGCCGGCGATTTTTTGGAGTCGGCCGAAGCTCGCTGACACGCGAAACGTGTTTTTAACATCAGCGACTAGTCGCCGGCGATTTTTGAGGTCGCAGAGCTCGTTTCCAGCTCGCGCGTAGCTCGCCTGTAGCTCGCCCCTGTGCGGCCGAGAGTCGACCGATATTCGGGCGTACATCCCACGAGTCTCGGCCGTATTTCGTCTTTGAAAATCGGGCGACGGTCGCTGAATACGGTCGACCCTCGCGCGAGCTTCGCGAAATGTTCGGATGACCCTCTTTCGTACCTCGCCCGACTTGCCCAAAGTTTTTAAACTCGTGCGTGCTTCGAGCGAGCTTCGTGCCAGTGTCAGACGAAGGTTCTACGAGCCTCGGCCGAGCTCCTGCGAAGTTATTATTTATTCAGCACCTGTGACATTTATTTGAGATTGCATTGACAGTATACTGTGTAAAGTTTGCAGGAGCAACGTCCCATTGATTGTTAACGTTATATTTTCGAGAAAGGATAAAAATAGACAAAATCGTCCTTTTTGTCCTTTTGTTAAATCAACATTCGTTGATAAACAAAATCACTTTAAAAAGATGATGAGGTTTTAACTATATAATAAGGCCAAATGGGCCTAGATTTTTACCTTAGCTTATTGAACGCACATGAAATTCTTTACTCTTGTCCAGTTAGGAGGTGTGTGGCCTTATTTCAGATGGCTGTATAATAAATTGACGTTTACACTTGTTCATTCTGGAATGGGGTTGACTTCTTTGTTAGGGTGCCCACAAGAACGTCATGTGATAGATATTACTTACTAGTTGAAGTTTATATTGCATGGGTCTTTTTACCTCTGTCTACTTTGTTGACATTGAATGGCTTGTTTTACCGGAAGATTCATACTATTTTAGACAGAAGTGTACAGGCAAAGTTTTAGAACAATATATCTTATTAGCTTTGTACAGGTACGCGTGTATAAAAAGATTTTGAATCGTGCGAGCATCGATAGATCGTCGACCGTAACTCGGGCGACGTACGCCCGTGTGTCGAGCGAGCTTCGGCCGACTCCTGTCTGGTTAAAAAGGTGGTCGTTGTGTTAACCAGACGGTAGTGTAAATTTGTGGCTCTTGTGGTAGTATTTGAGTCGGATCTGTCACAGAATTCCTGTTTATATTTATATTTTATTCAGCCAGTCCGCTCCATTACTTTGCTAAAAAATATTACGAAACGTCAAACATAAAAACTATTCATTTTTAGGTGGATACACTGGCCTTGCTTTATCTGCCTGCCATGTCATAGGGACTTCATTATCATAGATGTATTGCCAAGCGATCGCCCGAGCCTCGCACAATGTGACCGCGACGATTTTCAAGCCAAAAATACGCGCGATCGTCGGTCGATCTCAAAATCGGCCGATCTTTCGGCGATTGACAAATACGGCCGAAGCTCGTCGACAATGTGACGGGGGTAAAAGGACTGCGACCCTAAACAGTAGCGTGCATGTCGGGTGAGCGACAACAGCCGGGATTCGAACTCCCAACCTCTTACTTAGTCCAGAGGCAGGATCGCTAACCACGGGACTACACACGCTCCACTGTAACAGTGGGGGGTTTATAGGTGCTACCAACTCACCCGGCCGATGGGTCTAAACCTTTTCAGCCGAATGGTTAGAGCGTCTCAGACTTCACCAGGTGCCTGGGAGGTTGTGAGTTTGAACCCCGGCCCGGGACTAGTGGGTTTTTATCTGTTTCTACTGGCTCCTCCTGTTTCTTACAACACACCTGCAGCTGTGAGGGACCGATCTTAGCGCCAGGTTCGCTCAAGTACCGCTTCTTCCAACTCTCCATCAGGATGTCCACGTCATCTTCTTCGCGCGGTGACTTGTTGTTTGTGGCGCCCCCCGTCTTGGCCGGGAGGGTGCTGCTCAACATGGGCTGGCCCTGCAGCGGCTCCAGTCTGGAGATGTGGGGAAAAAACTTATAAGTGTTTGGCACAGAAAGAAATACATGGACTACTAAAGTACATATCAGGAATACATTGTGGAGTTTATAGCTGCCAAATGTGGTATTTCTGTGAATAGTGAGTTAGATTTTATCATTTTTCATAAACTTTACTTCTATATCATAAACATGAGCAATTTCTCTACGTGCTCCAACCTATTTTTCTCATATCTTCCTTCTTCATCTCTTCCATGTCTGTATCGTCCTCTTATACTAGTATCCCGCATCCAAATACGGAGTGTTTCTAGCCATAAACATTTCGTTGAATAA